AAAAAACCAGAAGTGAAAACAATTAAAAATTTTTGTAGGGAGTGCCTAGTCCTCAGCAACTACCTATAGATCCCACTCAGAACCAGACTGTCTTAACCTGGCTGGAAGGCAGTGCTTGGGGACAGTCTTTCTCATAGTCAACTCCTTGACAAGCCTTGAGATGCAGGACTGCATCTGAACCTCTGGGGAGCTGTGCTGGAGGGATGAAAGAAGTGGGAAAGGGCAAACAGTGTTTATAAGGGGACAAGGGACAGCCGACCAGAGCTGTTCCCATTGCTGGGTCTGGTTCCTGTTGTCTGGGAGCCCAGGGGGCTTGTAGGGGTGAAATGGAGAGGCCATTAAATTGCAGCCTTGCAGCCAAGAGGTTCAGGTCTGGCACACTCCTGTTTGTAGTCATCACACCCCTCTGGGACAGTCACCACATCTCCTGTGCTATTTTCCCCTTTTCCCTTAAAGCCTATGTGAAACCACCAGTCCAGGGCTTTGTACCTGTAACAGGTGAAAACCTTAAATTTCATATCTCCATATCCTTGTGCATGATATTTTGATGACTAAAAACTCCCCTTGCCTCATTTGTATGGATAAATGTGCTGGATAAATATCCTGGGAGCTGGTCTTCCAGATCCATCCGCTGAGATGAGGATTGCCAAAGTTTGTGTTTCTTGGGCCTTCTGAGTTGCCTCTGTCACGGGGGTGGTTTTGTTTGCTCATACTTCTGCGAGGCTCTTTCTGTGGGGGAAGCTAAGTGACAGCCACACAGACCTGCAGCTAGGTTTTAGGATGTCTGTGTCGGCCAAGTGGAAACAGTCACATAATATTTGGAGCACACTGTGGTGACCCCAGACTCCTCTGTGGTCACATCTGTGTCCTTCCCTGTCACATCCTGAGGGTCTCCTCAGGGCTTAGGGTTAAGTTGCTCTGTCTGGCCCCATGAGTGTGACTGATGCTTTCACTTCTTGTGATTGGGACTGAACAGAAATGACTGTGGGTGTTTATGTAGGGCAGTGCCTCTCAGAATTTACCACCAAAGGGCTCCTCTTGGGAAATGAGAAGCAGATGCTCAGCCCCGCACGCAGAGTAGCTCACCGTAAGGGCTGTTTCTTTGATGACTCACAACTTATCTTGTGGAGATTTTTCTTTCCACTTCATACTATAGCTGTTTTCTCTAATATAAAAATAAAAGCTCTCCCCTGCCTCCACCCAGAAAGTCTTAGAGTAAAATCATACCCCAGGAAGACAGACTGAGTCCCCTGGCTGTCTACAGCTCTTCCTTGAGGATTAGGAAGGGGATTCTAGTTTAAGAGACAAGGACTTACGTGTAAGTACAGAATTCTAAAGTAGCTTCCACAGTTGTGTGGTTCTGTGGCCTTATAAGTAACTTTCTTTATGCCTTGACATTTTTGGTCTTAATAATGAGACTGTTTAATAGTGAACTGAATTCTTATAGCAGGTGAAGGTCATGATTATGGGCTTCATTTAATACCAAAATCATTCCCCCTCCATGTTTCCACTGGTTTTCAATAGAACCTGGAGGCTTTCATGAGCTAAAGAAGCTGCTGCTGTGCTTGCTTTTTCCAGAGACTCAGCCACAGTCGCCTGTCAGTCAGGGTCAAATGGTTGGAGCCTAATTTTCTGACTATTTCTCCATCATGTCAAATATAGATGTATGCACATGTTAATTACTGTTTGGGATTATCTGTATTAAATGATTCTGTATGTGTAGTGAAGAGGTGCTCAGTGTGAAGAGTGAGTCGGTGTGAGGTGCAAATGTGGAAAACAACAGATTAGGATTTCCTTTTAAATCTCAGAGGTGGGGCTCTTCTCTGTTCCTAGAAACAGCACGAGCCATGCTGTAACTGCTCCCTGCAGGCAGCGGGGACAGTGCAGCCATGCTAGACACTGCCTCCAGGGCCAGGAGCCTCCACCACCACTCCCCCTAGAAATGGATCCACACAGCACATGGGTCTTCATGATGTTGGGGTGTGTGTGAGTGTGCCACCTCTCTTCCTGTGCCTGGCATCTGTCCTGGAAGGCAAGATTCACAATGTGGGGGAATTCTCAAGAATAAGAAGGAAATTCCTCAAGCTTGTGGGAAATTCCTGAGGAATAAGAGGGCATTAATAGATATGATGTGGCTCCCATGTAGGAACAAATGCCCCCTCCCCTTCACTGGGTCCCAGGCCTGGAGGAAGCTGCCTGGGTTCTTGGGACAGCCCCTGTGTCCCCAGCTGTCACTCTTCCTGAGTCTGCACTCAGTAGGGAATTTCTTGCAGAGTGGCAGGACGTTGCAGTCAGATGAAGTCAGTCCTTCCTGGAAGGGGCTTCTGTTGAGGCCTCTGTGATCATTGTTAGTTCTCATGCTCAGTCTCTGCTTTTGTAATTGAGTTCGCACTGTTGTTTCTCATGTTGGGTCTAGTGGGAAATTGCTTTATGCCTCAAATTTGCATTTTCCTTTCATCTTTTATGAACAGATAACTTTGTATGTATGTTCCATGTGCTCTGTAGTCATGTTGTTGAGCAAAAAGCAATGGGAACTGTACTTGGGAAGTCCACAGTGGCTGGCTTTTTCATGCGATTGTCATAGAAAGCTGTGCTTCCTGTTTTCACACCACGGTGCGCTGGTGGGGGTGGGTGACTAGCATCATGCCCTGCAGGCTGTCCTGTTCGGGCATCAGCACCGTGGTGCACTACCTCAGGGAGCTGCTGGGAGAAGGTGTCAGTGAGACCGAGAAACTTCCTACGGGGCATATAGCGTCACTGCAGCCAAGGTAGGAGAGGGGAGCAGTGTGGTAGATTCTAAATTTATTGGGGGTGTTCATCCTTTCCCCTTACTTACTTGTTCTGTTGTATGTGGAAAATTCATCTTAAGAATAACAGGGTGGAATACATCTGTGACTTTTTATTATAGTCAGTATTTTCTAAAAGTGAATTTTAAATGGTACTACAAACCAAAGTTTCAAAAATCACAACAGACTTCTCTGAGTTGCCTTTTAACATGGGAGACTTACTTAACCTAGTGCTCCTTCCAGCAGGAATCACTCTCTGCTCTGGTCCTGCCCCACTGCTGCCCCTCCCGCAGCCCAGGGTAGGAGGCCTTGGGCCGCCCCTGAAGTCGTATTCTGCTGTGCTTTCAGTAGGGTCCTGGGCCACCTCCAGGCTGGGAAACAGGCCCTCACGTTTCTGCTCTCTGATTCACTTTGTGCCCCTAGCCCAGCTTTCCCCCACTTTGAGGCCAGGTATTTGTCCCTATGTAGTTTAATGCAGAGATGGTGGGGGTGGGGTAGGGGGGTTCCTTCCTTCCCTCCCTCCTTCTTTCTATTTATTGAGCTATTTCCACATGCAGGATGTGCAGGATGGGGCCCCCTCACAGGAGTATGGGAGAGGAGAGGGTCTTCTCTGTGCCTGTCTCCCCTGGCCCAGGTAGGGAAGGCCAGCCACGTGCAATGCACCATGCTGGGGAACCTGTGCGACTTGATGCTCCTGGCTGCGGAGGAAGGGGGTGTCACCTGGGGTCCCTGGGAGAGGTTCTGATCAGAATCTGCTCTGACCTAGCCAAAGGTGCAGAGGAAGCCAGCTGGCTAGGAAAGGAAGAATGGGTGATAGTCCAGGGAAGCACCCTAGGGGCGCCTTGGGGGCAGCATGGCACAGTGCTCCCAGCTGGGCAAGGAGAAGGACTTGCTAGGGACACAGCAAGCCGGAAGTGAAGGCTGGAGAGCACGGTGGGCCTGGCTCTCCTCCCAGGAAGTCAGGACTCAGGAAGGGGGCGGTGGGCAGGCCAGGTGCTGCAGAGCTGCCCCGGAAGGTGGGCACTGGGGCCCTTTTCACTGTGAAACAAGAAGCTCATGGTGGCATGGATAGGACAGTGCATTTCAGAGGAACAGTGAACCTAAGAGGCAGAGGGCAATGCTGTTCAACTGTGTGTGGGAAGTGGAGGCAGAGGATATAAAAATTTTAAGAAGTTTCTGGGGTAAAGAGGAAGAGGGAAAGTGAAGTGGTTAGGCGGATGTGTGGGCCACTGGGCAGGTTTCCCAGGCCTTCCAAGTACGTGTATTCCTCTTGCCTGCCCCGCTTCTCTGCCTCACTCTGCCAACTTCCCTGACACCCTCCATGTAGCTCCCATCAGCTGCAGTCATTTCTGAAACACTAATAGAGGTGGGGAGGGCACAGGACTAGGACTGGGGACAGGAAGATCCGGGAGTCGTCTCTATGATTCCATGTTATGTCATGATTCATGCTGAGGAGCCACTGTGCCTTGGACACTTTGCTGTTCTGCTGTGTCCTTTCTCAGAAGTCTAAAGTGAATAATGGGGTGGCATTTAGTACATTTAGTCCAAGTAAAGTGTTCAGCATTGAATTAGTCAGGCTGTTTTATAAATCGGGCATGAAAAGTCCTTATGGTTAGGGCTTACAGGCTTTTTCAAAGACCCAAGGAAGTGATTCAGACCTTAAAAACAACATTACCCTCCAAAATACTAAAAGTAAACTGCAAAGCCAGGGACTGACTGGTGAAATGTCCTCAGTACATAACAGTGGGGCAATCACAGCAGGCTCTTTTGAAGTTATATTTGGAATGCAGCCTATTAAAATGCTTGGTATAAGGAAGAGCAAGGACTCAGAGTGTGTCTGTTCGGGCCTGCTCATTTTTTTCCTGGCTTCTGGTACATTCCTCTGAGCTTTATTCCCCAAGCTTATGAAGCAATGAGATCCCCAGAGGTGGTTTGGTTCGTTTCTGCCTCCTGTGTCTAGCAAAGTGCCAAGTGCCTGCAGTCAATCAAAAATAGCTGGTGGCTGTCAACCTCTCTATTCCTCACCCCTGTGACTTGAGTGTCTGAAACTGTTGTTTCAAAAGACTGTAGAAGCTGTACTCTTTACATGTATGGCTCACTTTTGTATGCTAGGTTTTTGGTTTTTTTTTTATACCTCTTGTAATCTGTGCAGTGGTCGGTGACTTTAAGCTTCTTCATTTAAGCTGACACTCATATGTGTTCTCGCTTCCCCAGGTAGACACAGCCCTCAAAGATGGTGACTCCCTCCTGAGATGCAGAACCACTTCGTACAAGAAAAGGCCTTCTCCCAGGTCACGGGGCTGGATCTCCCAGACGCCTCCTGGTCCCATAAACAGCTGAAGTCTCCACCCTCAGTTTCAGGTGGTCTTGGAATACCTCCCACTGTGTACAAAATGTTTTATCTTTGTTGGTACATTTTTCTTTGGGACAGCTCCCTGTCTGTGACCCCATGAAGAGCCTCTGCTCACCCACTTCCCAGGGTCACCTTACCTAAGGCTGCAGCTGTGGCCTGTGTGATGGTGGCTCCCCGTGCAGTGTCGTAGCTCTCTCAAGTTCTGGAACACTCAGGCCCTGTGTGCACTTCACTTAACTTTCTCTCTACACTCGAATTTTCATTTCTGGGGGAGGCAGCACCACTCACCCAGTGCCAGGAGCCCTAGGCCCAGCAGTAGGGTGGGTGACACTGTTAGGCATCACCTTGGGCTTTCTGTGGGTGTGGAACCTGCCCTCCTTACCTTCCCTGTCCCCAACTGGGTAGAGCAGAGCTAACGCATCCCAGAGCCTCTCAGTCACCCCTCCTTTTGCCTGCCTCTGAGGGGGTCTCAGATGCACCCCGTTCTGTCTGTCTCCACTCACACCTGCATGTGCTCTCCGCTGGACACCCCCTCCATGCACCCTGCTCTTCCCACCTCTCCTCTTCTCTCCCGTTTATATTCCACATGGGTGCCAGAATTTCTGTAAAAAATGAAAATCTGATTGCATACCACCTTGTGGCTTAAAACCTTTAAGTGATTTTTTTTCAACCTACAATTTGCAGTCCCAACCTCTCAGTGAGACTTTTGGTGTTCTGAGCACCTCCCCCCTCTGGCTTTGCCACTTGGCACACTCCCCTCCCCGCTGTGGTTTATGCTCCAGAACATGACAGTGCTGGCTTCTTCCACGCCCTGCCAGCCACCCCATGAGGTTCAGGTGACACCTCGTCCTGGCACCCTCCTCCAGGCTGCTTTAGGTCCCCCTCCTTCATGCCCGGGTATTTCTCTCTACATGGACACCCCGCATCATGGCACCTCTCTGGATGTGCCCACCTTCCCTGCTGGCAGATGAGCACCCTGAGACCCTGGGTCATATTCCTATGTTGTTCCCAGGGCCAAGTGTTGATGCAGGCATGTAGGAGGTATTCAGTGTCTGGTTGGTGAATTGGGCAGTGAAGGAAAAACGAAATGAATGGATATCTGAAACTTACATTTGTCATCAGGGCGAGGGGCGATAATAGCTAGCATTTGGGTGTGACCATTTGACAGACAGTGTTTTGAGCTGTGTGCATCTGACAACTCATTTAATCCTCACAACAGCTGTCAACACAGATATTGTCATTGTCCCCATTTTGTCAATGGGGAACTGAAGCACAGAGGCTGAGCTTTTATCCGATGTGCCATTAATGGGGTATGTGAGATACGGCTTGTATCACATGTGGCTAATGCCTAGATTGTGGCCATCTTGGGGAGCAGGTTCTTGTTTTTAAATTTAATATTTTTAAATTTATTTTATTTCATTGTTTTTGTCTCTGGTGCTAGCCCCCTACCTGCCATCCAGTAGAACTCATATTGGTGGGGTGCTTCCTGGTCAGCCAGCCTTTCAGCTACTGGCAGTAGGAAGGCTAGTCAGGTTTGGCTTCACCCTTGGAATTTCTGTGCTGTTTGGGGGCCTAATGGAATTTGTGCAGATTTTTGTTAGGAGAATGTTAGTCTTGGGCGCATCTTTACCTCCTTCCTTTCTACTGTCATCACTCCTTAAGGTCGTGTGACTCTTAGCAGCTCTCCCATGACCTTGAGTTGGCCCCCTTGCTCTAGGGTCCTGGGCTGGATATGGCTTCAGAGTCCCCTGCTGGTGGAAGGGGCCATGTCCCACTCCTCCTTTTCCCAGAGCAGTTCCCGGGCAGGTGCCGTAAAGCTAAGACCCCTGGGGCTTGGCTCCGTGTAATTAAGACTACTAGAGCAGGAAAGGGTCTGAGATCATCCTACTCAGTGCACGCTTGTACAGACAAGGAAACTGAGACCCGGGGCATGGCCATGTCCAAGATCACACTGCCCTGTGCTGGCCGACCACCAGCCTGGGACTTGTGATTAAAGGTTTCCCTGTAATTAATTAGGAGTTCTATCTTGAGATGCACTCTGTATTAACTTTGGTCTGGCATTTTCCTTTTCTTCCTCTCTGCCTAGGAATCAATCAAGCCAGACCTTGTAATGGAATAAACAAACAGCTGGCAGTGTTCAGTCACTTTCATGCTGACTTTGTTTTATTTTGGATAGACTAGAACGCAGGAGGCTAGATGAAAGGGGGTGGGATGGGCTTCCAGACGCGGTCATTTGGATTCTTCTTTCTCTCTTTCTTTTCATTGGAGGGGGAATGAGTGACTGGCCTGGAGCTGGTAATCAGAAAACATTTTAACCCTGTGTTTTATTCTCTATCGTAGAGACTTAAAACACACTCTGCAGAGTTAACAGAAAGGGGCAATAAACCTGGCTGTAAGACTGCAGATCCTTCTATCTTATCTTAAAAATCTGAGTATCATCTAAAGATAAATATGATAAGAACACTATTGAGCTAGAGTAATTTGGTAGAAGGCTAATTTATATAAATAACTAAAATATCAGAATTACAGGATATATAAGGAATAAGTAAGGAATTTCATTGCTCTGGTTCAAGGCTGAACCAGCCTTTGGGACCATTGTCCTCAGGATGGGAGTTAGCAGAGGAGGAGAATACGAACACAGGTATTGCTCATGCTTAGAAAGTTGTTTTTTCCTGTGCATTTAAGATGTACAATTGTCTTTTTTTCTCCACATTTTAATACCATTTCTTAAATAGAACATTTTTCAGTTAATATACAAATGACTGCATGCTATTAGAGTCTGAATTAGTGATATCTTAGTTAAAATATTTTGTATTTGCAGTTAACTTGTAGCTACTAATAAAAATATAGGCAAATTTCATCTTGTAAAAATTAAAAGACGAATGTGCTCAAAGCATGAAACTAAATGGTCGACTCTGGACAGTGGCCCTGAGGTCAGGTAGAAGGGACAGCTGTTTCTTCTGTTCGTTTTTTCACCCATCCCATGAGAATTTACTAAGGGCTCCCGGGATCCAAGAGCTGTGCCGGCTGCTGTGGGTTAAGGGGTAGGCAAGTCATGGTGCCGGCCCTCATCCAGCAGTAGGATGTGCTGCGGGCTAGGACCAGCATAAACACAGGTTGCCACATGGGCTCAGAGGAGGAGCCCCAGCCAGGCAAGGGGTCTGGGCGTTCCCTGGGCAGGGAAGGAGGTCAGGTGCAGGAAGCAGGGAAGGGTGAAGGCAGAGGCTCTGAGGCTGGAGGACAGGGCAGGTGAGGGCTGATGCCTGTATTGGGCTAAGTGAGAGGGCACTGGGGGGTGGAGGTGACAGGGTCATGGAGCCTGGGTCTCGGGTTGGGTGAGTGCACGGTCAGTGCTGGGCAGTGCTGTGCCTGCCACTGAGGAGGGGACCAAGTTTGCTGGGAGACAAGGAGTTTGTGGTTTGTGGCCTCCTGAGTTTGAGATACTTACGGGCCCTCAGATAGATCTGTGCAAAACTTCACTGGGCATACAAGATGGGACTGTACTGTACATAGCTGTAGGGTCCCCATTTAGGAACACCTAAAAGCATTCAGAAAGGGAGAGACCCTGTACTGAACATGAACTTTATTTGGGCTTGAGAAGTTTAGAGAGGTAGGCAAAATAGAGGGTTTTTTTTTTTCTTTTTTACATTCAGTTGATATTTTAGTGACATTGTAGTATAGATACAGCAATGGAATTTTTTTTCTTTAAGCATCAATCAAGTGCCTAATCTGATTACATTCTGTGCCATGTATGTGGACAAAGTGTCATGTAGTTGAAATCATGGTTTACTAGGACCTCAGTTTACTATGTAGCCTTGCCGCTGACCATTGCCTGCTGTGGCTGATGTCCTCCCCTTCTAAACCACTGAGAGGAGCTGTGGAGGTTTTGTTTTTAATTTGTGATAAGATGAATACATGCTCATTGTAGAAATTTTAGATAGAAAGCGCCAGAGAATGGGGAGACCACCCAGCTGCAAGAACCACCCTGATTTTATTATATTGTTATTATTTCTTTTAGTCTTTTTTGGTGCATTTTTCTGTAGCTGTATCATTTCATACAAAGATTTAGTGTCATAAAATGAAGGTGTGGTGTTGGAGCTGGACCTGGAATTATGGGGTGACTTTGGCAAGTGGGTCCCTGCAAGTGGGGTGCATGCCAGATGGGGAACAAACCCACCTAAGTAGAGGCGAGCTATTTTAGGGTCTCTTGAAAAGTCTAATTTGGACATAGTGTAGATTAAATTTGGGGAAAGTTTAAATGGGATTCAAGCCAGGAATGAATATTAGGGCAGATGGTGGAAGATTTATTAATCTTAGGTTGTTTGAGTTTGTCTCCAGTTCTATTAAAAATCATCTCTCTTACCCCATTTTCTATCCAGAAAGAAGCACGATCACCTTAATGATGAAGGGAGACTAACCCATCAGTGTGACCTGTGGGTGAGGGTGGGGGCTGCTGGGGAGTCAGTGTAACTAGTTTTAGAGATTGACCAGGCTAGTCACATTTTTATTTTTTGTCTTTTTCCATTTCTCTGTTTCTCCAGGAGAATATGAAAGTGTTACTCCGGCTTGTTTGTTTCATAGCGCTACTGATTTCTTCTCTGGAGGCTGGTAAGTTCAGCGTTTCCTGTGTTCTCGTCTGCTAAGCCAATCTGTTCTTTAGAATAAATGAAGCACCTTTCCTAAGTCTTTTTTTTTTCCCTGTTTCTCTTGAATCCTAGGACACAGAACTGTCCTGCTGGGTGGTCCTTTCAGCTTTTGCACTCTCATTCTCTTATTTACAGATTGGGGAACTGAGGCCCAGTGAGGTTAAGAGCATAAAGTCACATAGCTAGTTTCAGGCAAGAGTTAAAATCTAGGTCTCCAGAGTCTGGCCTCTTCCCATTTTATTGCCGAGTGAAGAGTATGATGCAGGAAACCCTGGCTTTCACTCAAAAGAGGTGTTGAACGTAGTCTTTATGAACCCACAACTGAAAATCATTAAGAGAGAGTTTTTTGCTTTCTTTCTCCATTTTCTCTCTTCCCCTCTCCCACCCTGACTACAAATGCATTTAGCCCCTCCTGTGCGCCAGGCACTTAGGCCTGAGAATACAATGAATAATTTCGATAGACATATTTGCCTGCATAGGGTTTACATTCCAGTAGGAGAGAGACAATACAGTAGATAAGTAAATACATATCATGCCACATGGTGATAAGTATAGAGAGGAAAAGGCAGGAAAGGAAGGTATGAAGTTCTAGGATTGAGATAGGCAGAAGGTTAAATTTGCTGAGAGTGTGGCCAGAAAAGGCCTCAATGAGAAGTTGGCTTTTGAGTCGAACCAGGAGGAGGAGAAAGAAAAGGAGGGAGCTATATAGATACCAGGCTGGGGGTGTAGAAACATTTTAGGCAGCAGGTGCCAAGGTCCTGAAGCCAAGAGTACTGACATGTTCCAGGAACTAAAATAGCAGTGTGGTGAGAGCAGAGAGAAAGGTGAGGGACATGCTAAGAGATGAGTAATGGGTAATGGGGAGTGGTGGAGGTTGATTGTAGCAGTGTGGTGAGAGCAGAGAGAAAGGTGAGGGACATGCTAAGAGATGAGTAATGGGTAATGGGGAGTGGTGGAGGTTGATTGTGTGAAACCTTGTAGACCATTCTAAGAATCTTGGCTTAGACTCTGAGTGAGAAGGAAAGACTGCAGGCTTCTGTGTTCAAAACTGGAGAGGTAATATGATTTACATTTTAACAGGATCATTCTGGCTCATATATTATTAATAGATCACAGGGAGACAAAGGCAGAAACAAAGATGGCAGTTTGGAGACTGTTGCAGCAGTCTAGGCAAGCAATGATGGTAGCTTGTTCAAGGGTGGCAGGAAGTGAGAAGACTTCAAAATTTGGATATATTTTGAGGAAAGAGCCAACAGGATTTGCAGATAGACTGGATGTGGTGTGAAAGAAAGAGGTGACCCTAAGGGTTTGGCTTGAACAAATGCAGGGTGGAGTTGCCATGATGAGATGGTAGAACATCATATGTTGAGACTGGATATTTTAGGTTTACCTGTCTGTTGGATGTCTACATAGCGATGTTGACTAGGCAGTCTGGGGCTTGAGGGAGAGGACTAGGCTGGAGATATAAAACTGGCGACCTCAGAAGTAGCTGCTGTTAGAGACTAGATGGGGTCATGTGGGGGAGTGAGTATAGTTAGAAAAGATGAGAACTCTAGTTTCTCCACACCCTCACCAAGACTCGGTATTGTCAACCTTTTAAATTTTAATCCTAAAAGAGTAACATCTGAGTGAAGTTTCAATTTCCACTTTGCTAATTATAATGAACTTATTTTCATGTGTTTTTTGCATGTGTTTTTGGCTATTCATGAATCTTCTTTGGTGAAATTTCCAAATCTGCCCATTTTTTATTGGGCTATTTGTTTCTTATTATTGAGTTTTTGGAGTTCTTTATATTAAATGTATACAAGACCTTTCTTAAATAAGTAATTTGTAAATATTTTCTCCCAGTCTCTGGTTTGTCTTTTCATTTGTTTAATGATATCTTTTAAAAAAGTAGAAGTTCTTAATTTCAATGAGTCACAGGGAGACAAAGGCAGCAGGTGCCAAGGTCCTGAGGCCAAGAGTACTGACATGTTCCGGGAACTAAAATAGCAGTGTGGTGAGAGCAGAGAGAAAGGTGAGGGACATGCTAAGAGATGAGTAATGGGTAATGGGGAGTGGTGGAGGTTGATTGTAGCAGTGTGGTGAGAGCAGAGAGAAAGGTGAGGGACATGCTAAGAGATGAGTAATGGGTAATGGGGAGTGGTGGAGGTTGATTGTGTGAAACCTTATAGACCATTCTAAGAATCTTCTTTCTTTTATAAGTTGTGTTTTTGATATTACATCTAAACAAAATCTTTGACCCTAGATCATAAAAATGTTCTCCTGTATTTCCTTCTAGATGTTTCATATTTTAAAATTTTACATTTAGAACTATGCCCTCTTTTAACTGATTTACATTATTTTATAGTTATTTTTTAAATCATATAGGAAATAAAGGAAATTATAACCCAAAACACTCATACTGACTTGTACATTTACCTATGCAGTTACTTTTGCTAATGTTCTTTATTTATTTTGTCATGTGGATTTGAGTTGTTGTCTTATTTAATGCTATTTCATCCTGAAGGACTCCCTTTAGCATTTCCCATAGGGCAAGTCTATTCTTGATGAACTCTCTCCCAGATAAGTTTTTGCTTATCTGGGGAAAGCCCACATTCCATGTTCATTTTTGAAGGATAATTTTGCCAGATATAGAATTCTTGGTTGACAGTCTTTTTTTCTCAGCACTTTGAATATGTCATTTCATGACTTTCTGGCCTATATGGTTTCAGAGAGCCATCTGTTAATCTTATTGAAAGTTCCTTATATGTGAGGAGTTTTCTCTTGCTGTGTTCAAGACTCTGTCTTTGTCTTTCAGCAGTTTGACTGATGTATCTAGGTGTGTGTCTCTCAGACTATACTACTTAGAATTTTTTGAGTATCTTGGATGTGTAGATTAGTGCTTTTCATAAAATTTGGGAAATTTTGTCCATTATTTCCTCAAATATTTTTCCTGACTCCTTTCTCCTCTCTTTCTATTATGCATATGTTGGTATTCTTGATGATGGCCCACAGGTCTTTGAGGCTCTATGTAGTTTTCTTGATTCTTTTTCAGACTGCATAATCTTTCAGTAAATGGTTGACTTGTCTTCCAGTTTACCAATTCTTTCTTCTGCCAGTTCAAATCTGGTGTTGTGTCCAAGTGAATTTTTTTGTATCAGTTATTGGGCTTTTCTACTCCAGAATTTCTACTTGGTTTTCTTTGATAGTTTCTGTGTTTTTATTGCTGTTCTTTATTTGGTGAGACATTGCAGTCATACTTTCCTTTAATTCATTAGACATGTTTTCTTAGTTTTTTGACATATTTATAATTGCCAATTTAAAGCCTTTGTTTAGTGAGTCTAGTGTCTGGACCCCTCTGGGAGTTTCTGTTGACTGCTTTTTTCCCTGTGTGTGGGAAATACTTTACTGTTTCTTTGCATCTTTTGTTGAAAATTGGACATTTTAGGGAGTATAATGTGGCAACTCTGTGAATCAGATATGCTAGTCCCTCCCATACACAAGGTCTGTTATTGTTTTGTTGCTGATGCTCATTTGTTAAATAATTTTCTTGGGCTAATTCTGTAAAGTCTGTGTTTCCTGTAGTGTAGAGCCTCTGAGGCCTCTGTTTGGTCAACTCAGAGATTTCCTTATATTATTTTACCCAATAAGTCTTCTGTCTTTTGCTGAGGGGCTCTAATGTGGGATGGCTTTGCCTTCAACACTTAGGTTGTTTACAACTCTGCCCTGGTCTTTATGTCCTGCTTGTGCATGACCTCAAGATCATCCAGATTTGAGAGACTGGTACCTTCTTTAGTCTTTGCTGGGCATTTAAATAGTTCTGCATACATGTGCACTCTTCTAGATTCCCCAGGAATACGTTAGAGCTTTTCAAAGCTCCCTGTGGACATTTGGTTCTTCAGAGATTCCTTTTTCTTTTGCTCAGACTCTCATTTGTTCCAACTACTATTGCAGCTTCAGTCAACTACGGTGTTGAACAGTTGTCATAGATGGATTTTTGTTTTTTTAAACAAAACACATTGGGGATAGATAGGGCTTTTCTGGTGGAGATCTAGGTCAGGTCAATAAAAACACAGTTCTGTGAGTATGACTTTTCCATGGAGTTGCCAGTCAGGCCAAATTATAACAGTGCTCTGGAAATGGGACTTTTTGAGGAGCTCCAAACCTTATCTGCTCTTACAAACCTGCTGGTTTTCACAGCCACTGTGTTTGCAAGGCCACTGGTTTTTCAAGGCTGTAGTGTAGCTGGGAAGTGGGAGGACCAGAGCAGTTTAACTTACAAAGCCACACACACTGCTGTTCTACTGAGAGCCAGCCAGTGTTGTTGTTTTTAAATAAATGTTCTGGTTATTACAGACCTTTGATTTTGAGGAAATTTTCTAGTCTTTTTGTTGTTTTTATTAAGGAATGGATTTATGGAGACCCTCATGCTGCCATCTAGAAATCCTGTCTTAGAAGTTCTTTTTTTAGCATTAGTATATCCAACTTGTTAAAAGAGATTTTAAAAGGTTTTTAAAATCTAAGTTGTTTTAAATAATTCTATATGAATTTTATAATCAGCTTGTCAACTTGTACAAAAAATCCTGCTTCAATTATGATTGGGACTGAATTGAATATAAATCAACTTGGAGAAAACTGACATCTTAACAATATTGAGTCTTCTGATCCATAAACAAAGTATATGCTTCTTCATTTATTTAAATTTTGTTTAAATTACTTAAGCAGTATTTTGTAGTTTTCACTGGATAGGTCTGATGCATCTTTTACAGGTTTATCCCTAATTACTAATATCTTTTGGTGTTATTGTAAATGGTACTTTTAAAAATTCAGTTTTCAATTATTCTTTGTTAGTAGAAGCAAACACATTTAATTTGCATATTCATATTGTATCCTATAATTTACCAATCCTTCTAAGTCTTCTGTAGATTTCAGAGCATATTCTACATAGATGATCCTCTTCTCTGCAAATAAAGACATTTTGCTTTCCCTTTCAATCTGAATACCGTTTATTTATTTTCCCTGCTGTAATGCGCTAACTAGATCTTCCAGTGTGATGCTGGATAGAAGTGATCAGCCTGACACCCTCGCCTTGCTCCTAGTCTTGCCAGATACGATAAGTATAGATTTTTCATGGCTGCCCTTAATTAGGTTCAGGAAGTTCCTTGCTAGTCCTAATTTGCTGGCAGTTTTTATCAGGAATATTTATTGGATTTTGTCAAATGCTTTTTCACCATCTGTTGAGATGATAATGTATTTTTTCTTTTAAAATCTGTTATATGGAAGTTTATTCATTGATTAAAAAAATCAATCCAACTCTTTTTTTTAATGACTCCAACTTTGCATTCCTGGGATGTTATGTACATCATAATACATTATCCTTTTTTAATGTATTGTAGAATTCAACTTGCTGAAACATTTTAAATAAATTATACATCTATGTTAGTGATGAAGATTGATTTATGGTTTTCTTGTAACTTTTTTTTACTGAGGTACGTACACTAAGATGCAGACATCTTGGTATACAGCTCAATGAATTTTGACATGTGTATATACTCATATAACCATTACCCAGATCAACATACCAAACATTCTGATTTTTTCCCCCCTCATCTATTGTCTTCAGTTTTGATATTAGAATAATGCTAACCTCCTAGAGTGAATTGAGCAGTGTTACCGACTCTTTAATTTTCTGGAAAACTTTGTGTAAAATTGGTGCTATTTCTCCCATGAATATACCAATGAAGTCATCTAAGCCTGAAATTTTCTTTGTTGGAAGGTTTTTCATGACAAATCCAATTCCTTTAATATCAATAGGGCTACTCAGGTTATCTATTTCTTCTCGAGGGAGCATTGGTAGTCTGTACCTCGCAAGGAATTTGCCCATTTAAATTGTTGAATTTATTGTTATAACATTCTTTATACTATTTCCTTATTGCCCTTTTAAGATCATTTTAATAGAAGCTGTCCCCTTTCTTTCTTCCTGGTCAGTGTGGCTAGACATTTACTAATTTTATCAGTTTCCTGAAAGAACTAACTTGTGGTATCTTTGATTTTTCTGTTTTACATTTCATTGATTTTCCCTTGGATCTATATTATTTACTATCTCTTGCTTACTTTGGGTATAATTTTTTTCCAATTTAAGTAGTAACTGAAATCATCAATTTGAGATATTTTTTCTTATGCAGGCATTTAGTGCTATCAATTTTTCTGTAGGTACTGCTTCAGTTGTATGCCAGAAGGTTTTAAATGTTGTGTTTTCCTTATTATTTAGGTCAAAACACTTTCTAATCTGTGTATTTTTTTCTTTGACTCATGGGTTATTTAGAAATGTGTATTTTAGTTTTCAAATATTTGGAGAATTCCTAGATTTCTTTCTGTTACTCATTTTCTAATTTAATCCATTGTCATCAGAAAACATACTTTGTCTAATTTGAATCCTTTTAAATTTATTGAATATTGGGTTATGAGCAAGAATATGGTATATCTTGGTAAGCATTTTGTGTGCCTTACAAAGAATGTGTATTATTCTGTGCTGGGTAGAGTTTTCTATAAATATTGACTGTAATGTTGATAGTGTTGTTCAAATCTTTTAGCACATTACAGATTATCTGTCTAGTTGTTTACTTCTTTTATCAATTACCATGAGTAGTGTATTAAAATCTCTGACTGTAATCATGGGATTCCCTATTTCTCCTTGCATTTCTATCAGTTTCTGCTTCACGTTCTTTGAAGCACTATTAGTTGGTGAATAAACATTTAGCATTACTATGGATCTCTTGTTGAATGATTCCTTTTTCATAATGAAATGACCCTTTTTATCTTTGGTGATATTGTTTACTGTAAATCTACTTTGGTACTCTTAATAACCAAATTTTCTGTGATTAGCATTAACATAGTATATTTTTCTTGCTTCTACTTTTAATGTAATTGTGTCTTTATACTTACAGTGTGTGTATGTGTGAGCACATGTGTATACTAGGTAGTGTGTAGATAGGTCCTTTTTTAATCCAATCTGACCACCTTGCCTTTCATTTGTAGTGTTTAGACCATTAAAAATGTTTAATAAGATTATTAACATGTTCGGATTTAATTTTAGGATCTTGTTATTTTATTTTCTATTTGTCCTATCAATTCTTTGTTATTTTTTCCAATTTGATGCTGCCTTTTAGATTAATTGAGAATCTTCCTGATTCATTTTACCTCCCATATTGGCTTAAACTAATAGCATTTAAAAAAAATAACTGTTTTAGTGTTTATAGTATCTATCTTTAACTCACCATTTCATATATATAAATATATGAAATATATAAATATATAAAATAACTAAACCATTTCATATATAAAGTAAAACACTTAATATATATCCACTTCTCCCTTCTTGAACTTTCTCCTATAGTTCTATACATTTTATGTCTTTATAGGTTATAAATTTCACCATACATGATTTTGCTTTCAACATTCAGTTATCTTAAAGAGATTTAAATAATAAGAATAAATATTTTATGATTACCCATGTAGTAAACATTGCTGCTGCTACTATCTATTTCTTTGTGTAGATTCATTTTTCATCTGATTTATTTTCCTTCTTTCTGAGAGACTTCCTCACATATTTCTGGCAGTGTGGCCTCTGTGTGTGATGAGTTTTTACAGCTTTTATAAATCTGAAAAAATATCTTCATTTTGCCTCCATTTTTAAAAGTATTTTCACTGGATATAGAATTTTTAGGCTTTATTTTTTTCTTTCAGTACATATCTTTATTTTACTTTCCTCTGGCTTGTATTATTTCTGACAAGAAGGCTTTATCATTTTTGTCTTTATTTGATGAATTTTTTTTCATCTTTGCTTTGAGGTTTACTGTAGTTTTGGGGTAGTGGGTACATCATTTTAATAAAATCTTGAAAATTTTCAACCTGTATTTCTTCAAATGCTTTTTATGCTTCATCCACCTCTCCTCTTCTTTACGGATTCATATTACATATATTGAAGTTGTCCTACAACTAACTAATACTCTGTTTATTTTGTTCTGTCATTTTTCTCTCTGTTTAATTTTGGACAGTTTCTAACACTGTGTCTTAAAGTTCACTAATCTTTTCTTCTGCAATATCATATCTGCCATTAGTCATATCTGATGTATTTTTTTAAGTCAGTATTTTAATTTTAATCTCTGTAAGTTTGATTTAGGTTTTTTAAGTAATCTCTTTCATGCCTCTACTCAACATGTTTGATCTAGCATTTTGAACAACTGGAACACTGTAGTAATAACTATTTTAATTTCCCCAACTATTCTATCACTTACATCATTTCTGGATCAGTTTTGATTGACTTATTTTTTTCTTCTCATTATTGGTTGTATTTTCCTGCTTTGTGGCATGCTTAGTACTCTTTTTGATTGACTCTAGACATTGTAGATTTTACCATTTTGGGTGCTGGATATTTTTGTATTACTAAAAATATTCTTCAGCTTTGTTCTGCCACAGGGTTGTTATTTGGAAATAATTGATCCCTTCAGGTCTTACTCTGAAGCTTTATAAGTCAGGATCAGAACAAGATTTATTATAAGCCTAATTTGCTCCATTTATTGAGGCAAAACTCTTGTGGGTACTCTATCTGATGCCCCATTAATGAAGAGGTGTATACACACACACACACACAATATATATATATATGTATATATGTATGTATATACACACACACACTCATAGATGCATACATACACAACTCTAATCTCTGTCTTGAGCACTCTTGGTTTACCTGAATTCCCAGCTTCATCTCCTCAACTCTGAACACTGGCCTTTGCCTCTGTTTCTTCCCTGCAATGTTATGAGCTAGAATCTCTCTCTAGGCAGTCATTTGGGAAAGTAATAGGGTTCATCTCCATTGTCTCCCATCTTTCCAATATTTCTGTCCTTTGTTCCCTGATAATGCAGTGTCTTGAATGTTGTTGTTTCATGCACTTTGTCCATTTTTTGAGTTGCTCAAGTGGGAGGGTGAATCCAGACCCTGTTACTCCATCTTGTACTGAAGCAGATATCTCTCCTGCTATATTATCACTGAGTTTTAAAACCCTTCTGAATATTCTACATGATACCCCATGATTAGTGAGGTTTTCCATTTTGGCTATTGAGAGCAGTGAATAAAGTGGAGATAAGAGAAGTTAAATAACTTGTCCGAGGTCACCCAACTGGCATGACTAGATTCGAATACAGGTCTTCCAGACTCCTAGGATAATACACTGAAACCTAGGCTATTAAAACTCTCATATATAACATGAATTAATGCATTTTATAATTGATGTATTTATATGTAGATAATACATTAAGAAACATTGACAAACTTCTTATTGAAATTATTTTCCCTGTCTCCCTTTTAAAGATGAATGTGAGGAAATTGAAGAACCAATAATTTTAGTTTCATCTGCACATGAAATTGATGTTCGTTCATGTCCTCTTAACACAAATGCAAGGGAAGGCAGTATAACTTGGTATAAAAATGACAGCAAGACACTTATTTCTATGGAACGAGACTCCAGGATTCATCAGCATAAAGATAAACTTTGGTTTGTTCCTACTAAGGTAGAGGATACAGGACATTACTATTGTGCAGTAAGGTGAGAAAAGAATTATTATGTTACGAACATGTATTCTGTGTAATTGGAATAGTAAAGGACAGAAACATCTTTTAAAAGCGCTTAATTCGCCTATTTTGATTTGTTTTAGAAATTCAACTTACTGCCTCAAAAGTAAAATAACTGCAAAGTTTGTACAACATGAGCCTAATCTGTGTTACAATGCACAAGCCATATTTACACAGAAACTGCCCCTTGCAGGAGATGGGCGACTTGTGTGTCCTTTTTTGGATTTCCTTAAAGATGAAAAAAATGAATTACCCAAAATACAATGGTATAAGGTAATTTTATATTAAATATGATAATTTTACTTTTCCAGCAAATGAAATACTTTTCTGTCATAGACAATAGGATGGATCTGCTAAGTACTTTTTCATTTGTTACAGTGTTTGCTTTTGAATGGTGAAACTTAATAGGAAATTTTAAAAACATTTTTTAAGAGTGCATCCATTTAATTTGTAGTTTAACTGATATCTTTCTGTTACTTTAATTTAGTAAGATGCTGTTGAGAAAATTATAGTAGAAATAGAAGATATTTAGAGATAAAGCTGAATATAAACTTAAGATTCTAAAGAGATGACTATTACAAAATATTATTTTGCATCTTATTAAAAATATTTAATGTTTTTAAATATTTTTAGCTATCAGTGGTCCTTAAATAACTTAGTGATTTCTGTAGTGGTTACTATGTAACTGGATTGGCTAGCACTCCATGGAACGCACCATGTTTTGTGGTACCTTTGATCTACCTAATTTGTTGGCATTTACAAGGGCAATCATCTTATAGAGGTTAAGAAATACAAAATATATATCAGTGTAGAAAGGAAGTACAGAATTACTAAAAACTATAGTAGTAGCATTCTTTCCTCAACCATATTTTTCTTGTAAAGTAAATTTGCCTTCACTTGTCTTCAAAGTACAAGGCTCATAGGCATAAAAATAAAATATCCTGGGAAAATAATTATGACGTTTGCCAAAAAATTTAAACCTTGTATGCAAGGAACATATTCATATAGAGAGAGGTTCACATATACTCATATATGTGTGAATAGATATGAATGTGGGTATTGTATATATATATGTATATGTGTGTGTGCGTATGTATTTATATATACACATAACATTTGCCAATGTGAAAAAAACACAGTTGCTTTTGCTGGTGGACTGGGAAAAGTTTTTCATTGGTTTTCAATATTTCCTTTTTCTCCCGCTATCTAGGATTGTAAACCTCTTCTTCTTGACAATATCAACTTCAGTGGACAGAAAAATAAACTCATCATGGCGAATGTGAACACAGCGCATAAAGGGATCTATACTTGTCGTGCATCCTACACACACTTGGGAAAGCAGTATCATATTACCCGGGTTATAGAACTTCTTACTCTAGGTGAGTCATAGCTCCCATCCGAGAAGGCTGAACCCAGGAAGGCCTAGAGACCAGGATTCTACTATTATCTTCACTGCCTATGGGGGAACTAAATCCAAGAGCAACTTGATGATGTAACACAGGTCATGTGGCTTTAGTTTCATTTTCTTGTTAAATACTATATGAGTGTTTTGCATTCCTGCTTCAGACGCAGTGCTAATTAAACAGGCAACGTGAGTTATGTTTTCCAACTGAATTAGGAGGCTTGTTCTTTAGCATGGGTAAAGGTGGTTCTTCCAGAGAGCTAGGGGCTCCCTCCCAGTGGTGAAAGAGGAAGTTCTGAAAGCCTTCACCTGGGGATTCTAGCACTAGGGTCCAGCACTATGGACTGGACACCGATGGCTTTGGAATAAGTTACAGTCTTGTTAGTTCCTGTTAGCCAGTTATTTAACCTCTGTAAGCCTGTCTCCTCTTCTGTAAGAAGGTTGTTGAGGAAGTGTGCTCAGCTTGTGGGCATGTGCCTGGTGCAAAATAGATGAGAAACAAACAGGTATATGATGATGATTATTGTTAATTTTCCTGAGGCTTTCAATTCTCTATTAACCATATTTCATATTAAAACCTATTTTACAACAAAATGCACTCCTACAAATTACCTGGGCATGGGCAGGATGCTCACCTTTTCAGTAAATACCAGATTTTGTGAGCTTTCAGTAACATAAGAGGAGTTGCTTTAACCAGGACTTTCAAAGTTAAAGGGCTGGGACAGTAGTCATAGGTGGGGACTATCCCAGGTAAACCCAGAGTGTGATTGCCTTTCATATAGCTAAGTTTTCTCAATACTATAATAACTTATTTTTTCAGACATTAATTTTGTTGAATCAAAATTAGTTTGTCACCTAGGTCCCACATGTACCAGCAAGTTGTAATTTTCAACAGCCCTTGTTTCACAACCATCTTGAGTGTTTAGCTGCTTCTCTCTGATCATTGTGCAACTTTGGTTTGTCTATGTTAAGATACAGCAACCAGGCCAGTGGACAGAATTTTAGGGAAACAGGGCACTAGGGGATGTTTTAAATAGGTCAAGTGTGTTTGCAATATTCTCCATTGCCCTTTCTGATCCCCTGTGTAGAAATAATGTACTTAATCAGGGGTGAGGTCATGTTTTGTTTTCTGACAAAGGCAGATTAAAAAATATTTACTGAGCATCTACTCTGTGGTAGGCACAGTTCTGGGTATACATCAAGGAACAAAAGAGACCATATTCTGCCCTGATGGAGCTTACTTTTCTTTTTTTTTTTAATTGGACTGTGGTAGAATACTGGGTGTTCAAGCTCATAGTTTCTCAGGCTTGGTTACAGATGAACCCGTGAAGCCAAACTTCTAGTAAATGAACGTCAGGTTCATTTCTGGAGCTCCTTAATATTTTTCTGTCAGTTTTAGTAAGTTATGCTAAATTGCTTAGCATTCTATTCTACTCTTGGGCCATTACTCAGGTTATTAACACAAGCAGATCTCGCATTGAGGGCCCTTCTGGTTAATCATCCTCTGTTCGGGGAAGTACCTTTCCACAGTAACTTGTTTTTCCTGATTTCTTTTAAGAGAGGCACTTGGGAGTGGTGGGGCCCTGGTGATGTGTGCGGGTTTATAGCACCAAATTCTGTGGGTTCAGCAGGGCCCAGGCTTTGTAGCAGGTGTTGTGGTCTCGCTGCAGCCTCTGGGTCAGCCATTCCTTCACGTCTTGCACTGTGTGCTGTGGGCACTTGGGGGGCTGTCTGGCCAGATGCCATGGAGTCTCTTTTGCTCCATTTTGTCATATCACTCAAGATTCTGATCTGTTGCTTAGATTCTGATACTAAGAAGCCCTGTGGATGCTTTTCTTTCAGAGGAAAACAGACCCATGAAGCCTGTGATTGAGAGCCCAGTTAATGGCACATTAGAAGTAGATGTGGGTAAGTGCACTCCAGTCAGGATGTGCTGAAATCATTATTCTAAACTCAAGATTAAGGTAAACCTCACTACATATAACCTAAGACATTTACTGGCTCTACCTGTACTTAGAGGGAAAGGGACACAGGTTATATATTCCCATGTTCTTTGGCTTCCTTGCCTTGAGGGTCTGCCCACCTGTATTTTCCTATGGACACACATTACCCATGCAAACACCAGCCAAAGGCCAACTTCCACAGGATTAAGAATGAGAAATGTAATTTATCTGACTTGTGCGGGATGGATTTCTTATGACCAGAACTAATCTTTCAGGCTGAAGAGTAACAACATGCCAAAATGATAGTCATTCTAGAAGTGAGTGAAACATTTTCGTTTCAAGAATAAAGGCATAATCTCATAAGCATCCAGACCTACCCCATGCAACACAGTAGCCATAAGACACATGTGGTTAAATTCAGTTAATTAATGTAGTTCAATTAAAAATTAGTGCCTCAGTTACATTAGCTATATTTCAAAGGCTTAATAGCCACATGTGACCAGTGAATGCCAAATTAACAGAAATATAGAGCATTTCTCCCATCACTGAACATTCTAGGAAACCACTGGTCCAAACATAAGGACAAATTTTTATATCAGAGGATCAAAATCAGACTGGCGTCCAGAATCCTCTTGTGTAATAGTAGCTACGTGAAGACAATGAGCAATTGCAAGATTAGAAGGTAAAAGTTTGTGACCTATCAGTTCTGTACTTGGCCAAGTTGTTATTCATGGCAAAAGGTGACATAAAGAAAAAGATGTGGAAACTCAAAATTAAATATAGGCCAATAGAATCTACAGCAGTGTTTCACAGTCCATTTTTTCTTCCCATTATTGCTTTCCTTTAGAACCTAAAAAAGCATTTTTCCCCCCAATCCTCTTCCCTTTCTTGGAATTTTAATGTCACAGACATATCTTATATCTGTTGAGACACTGGCAGTCTGGAGGGCCACAAACCATTGCAATACCTACAATTTTCTTGTCTCAACCTCCAGAACCACTTTTTGCCCTGTTGGTCGGGCTCCCTGCGGAATGCATGCTCGAGAGATGTGGACTTCAGACCACTAAAACCTAGGTTGCATTGATCTCCAGATCTAAAAATAGTTTCATATTAAACAATTACTTTAATATATCACATCATTCAGATGCACACATCACCCTGTTGTATCCTGAAGGTTGTTAAACAGGCATTTGATTAGTAATTCTGTAGATATCTGTATGACACTTATTGTGGTAAATAGGATCTCTTTTACTGTTAAAGTGACTTAACAATTACTAATAAAATGACTTATAAAGGTAAGAGTTGAAGGATATTTACTTCATTAACTTGATAAATAGCATCAGTTCAAACCAGTAGTCACCAACATTCTTAATGGTGAAACATTTAAGTGTTATTAGCCCTTCTACTGGCCTGGACCTTCTCACTGAAGAGCAAGACAGGTGCACACATAACTAATATTAGTTAAATGTTCTGGAAGTACCCACCAATGGAGTCATAGGTAAAAGAACCAAGGTGTGCTTACTGTAAGGGAGAAATTTATTATTTTCAGATCACATGATTATGTACCTATAAATCCAAAGAGAATTACTGAGAAAAAAATCAGAATTAACATTTTATGAATTGGCCAGGTACAAAATTATTATTCTGAATCATTAGACTTGCTTAGTGATAACCAACTAGAATGCATAATGGGGAAGAGATTGTATTTATGACAATAAGTGTCATAGAGATCTACAGAATATCTTAGTGAAATCTTTTAAAAAGTATATGGAATTTATAAGAAAGGAATAAACAAATGAAAAAGCAAACCCTGGCATATAAATAGCAGAACATTTGAGAGATCAAAACATAACATTCCCAGGGGGTAGTAATCATGTCTCCAATGGGTAGAAAATTGGTTCTTAATGGGTAAAGAAAACTAAATCAGCAGATATACTGTATATCTATGGCATTAATAATTCACGGCAAGGGAGGCAATTAGGATAAAAATGTCTAAAAAGACTCAAAGGGAGCTGCAGTGAAAACAGTCTTGAGGAACACCAGTTTAAGGAAAAGTGCAATAGAAATATATATGCTTTCCCTCTATGAAAAACTGGAAATTATAAAGATGTCAACTCCTAAAACTAAGTTATAGGTTTAATGGAATTCCAATAAAAATTGGCAAGTGATTCTGAAATTCACATAGGAGATTAAAATGATGAGATTATTAAGATACTGTTGAGAAGGACTCTAAATGGTATTATTTACCCTGAAACTGCAGTAATTGAGAGTGTGGTACCTTTGGCATCAGTAACATATTCAGATCAACTGAGAAAATCCCAAATAAGTAAGATATGATTTTATGATAAAGATAGCATTTCAAATTAGGGAGGAAGAGATTTATTATTTAATAAGTGGTTGTGGAATGATCAATCAGCTATTTGGATAAAAACATTAAGTTAAGGCTTCCTCCCCCCCCCCCCCCCCCCAACTGCGCATACCACACCTAATTATAGCTTAGGCAGGTTAAAGGACTAAAACATTAAAACCATGAAACAGTAAAAACATTATATACTTAAATGAGAATGTACATGGATAATTTCCTGATTTGGTGGTAGAGAGGGCTTTTAGAAATAAAATAATGAAAAACTGATTAGGAAAACAGTTATAAATTTGATATAAGAAGTAAAAATCTCTACACCAAGGAATTTCCATAAACAAAAATAAAATGAAAGCAACACACTCTGAAAGATGTTTGGAATAGTCTTCATGTATGATAAAGAGTTAATATCTCTTTTGAATAAAGAGCTCCCAGAATAATCAGTAAGGTTAACAGGAGAATGAACACGAGGCATAGCAAGCAGTTCTTAAAAGAAAGACCAGTGAATACTAAACTTAAGAAAAATATGTCAATTGACCATAATTTCAAGAAATGAAGATGAAAATATAAATGGAATTTTTTGTCTTCTCTCAGTTGGCAACGACTAAACAAAAATTTTTGGTATCTCAGGGGTTAGGGGAAAATGATGCTATAGTGTCACTGAGAGAGGGGGCTGGCTTTTAAAATGGGTACCTCATTTAACTCAGTTCTACTTCCAGATTTTGATGCAAAGTAGTACCATAGGATATACATAGTGATATATAGGAACACTCATTGGAATATAAATTATAATAATGGAAAATTAGAAGCAAATTTAGCAACAGGAAAAAAGTTAATCGTAGTATGTATCTGTATTATGGAATTCCAAGCAGCCATGAAACAGCTTGTTTTTGGAAGGCTAATCATATGAGCCGAAATTCCCAATGCACAATAATTACAAACATTAGACAGTAATTTTAAAAACTGTATATGTATACAGAGAAGATAAGGAATGAGACACATAAAGTTACTAGTAGTGGTTACCTCTGGGTGGTGTGTTTAAGGGCAATTTGTCTTTTTCTTTGTATGTTCCTGTAGCTTAAAAATTTTATTTAGTAGCCATTTATTAATCCACAGGTCAGATACAAATCAATTACTGTTATGGTTTAAAATACATTGCTTTGCAGGATCCCAGCTACAACTGATCTGCAATGTCACTGGCTATCCCACTGCCTATGTCTCCTGGAAGTGGAATGGGTCATCAATCGATGAAGACGATCCAGTGCTGGCGGAAGAGTATACGTGAGTGTATAAGCCAGTCATGCAGGGCAGAAATTTTGCTATTAAATTCCATGTCAAAATCTATAACCTTAATGGTTTAATCTGATAGCAAGGGTTAACTGGCTGTTGACTGGTTCTTAACCCTTTGCTGCCCATATTGAGTTTTGCTAAGCTGAACAGGATTTGTGAGATCTTGGACATTTAAGGCAAAAATACATGTCATTGTGGTGCAAATTCTGGACCACTTGGAAGGCTTTTCTTAAATTTAGTTATATATGTTGCAGCATTCCAGTGAAGCAGCTTTTCTAAATTACTCTTCATGTCATTGTGTCTTTAAGTAGTTTAGAAAAGACTTACTAAATGGTGTCAAGAACCAGGCCTCCCCCCACTGCCCAAGTCCCTAACGGCTGCCTGTTATCTCTGTAGGGATAAGCCAACTCCTCACCATCACCCGCAGATGATCCTTTGTCATCTGCCCAAGTCTCCTCTTGTTTCATATATTCTCTCTGCCCCATGGAGACTAGGATGCATATGGCCGTATTTTTCTTCTTGGGATCTAGTAATTTTAATTTGATCTCTGTACTGAGTCTTTTACTGAAAATGGTCCTAGGGCTAGAAAATCTCAGATCAGCGCCTCTAACCACCTGATTGTTAGGCCTGTGGTTAGGGCTGGTGACTATTTCTGCCACAGTGTATACAGCAAGTAAAGAGACAGACCATGTATACGTGTGTCTAATTTGTGGTTGATGCAGTGTACTTAAACAACTTTGTTTACTCTCTTTTGAACAGAACGGAAAGTCCTTTAACCAAAAGAAGGAATATACTCACAGTGCTTAATATTTCAGCAGTGGAAAGTAGATTTTATCTACATCCATTTACTTGTTTAGCTAGGAATACATATGGTAAAAGTGCAGCATATGTCCAATTGAAACGGCCAGGTAAACAACGAAACTATTTATTTGAAATGCAATTTTGAAATGCGACTGTTATGAGATTCCATTACCTTGAGGTCTGCACTGCTATTTCTTCTGCCCAAAATACTCTTGGATTCCTCCTAAATGGGGTAATTTCTATTCTTCTTTCACTTGTCAACTGAATGATTTCTTTTTCGAGGAAGCTTTCTGTCCTGCTGTCTGCTTTTAAGCCAGCCCTGTGCCCGAACAGCTGAGGTCAGGGCCCTTGTTATATGCTCGTATTGTGCAGGCGTGCATGTGTGTTTGTTTGCGTAGTGTGTTGTTGTGGACAGATTTATTTTAAAAGTCATACGGAAATGTAAATGGTAAAGAATAATCAAGATGGTCTTGAATAAAAAGAAATAGATCTATAGATATGATGGTCTTTTATGGAACTGTAGTAATTAAGACTGTAAATATGAACTATCAGTTGGGACAGTTGGATATTGGTCTGGAAAATGGTACATCTTAATTTCTACTTCATTTCCAAATCAGATGGATCCGAGACCTAAATTGGAAGAGTGAAAAGTAGAGGTTTTAGATTCTCTTTTTCTGGGTGCCTGCATGGCCCCTGATATTTAGAGGGTGCTTTCTTCTTTTTTCTTCTCCAGCCGCCTCCCCTTCTTCTCCCCCTCACCTTTCTCCTCGGCCCCTCCTCCTTTGCAACCATTGGATGAATAATTAGAGCATGAAGAGAATGTGGAGGTGTGAACCTCTGTATGACACCCCTAATCCCTTCTCTCCTTTCCACCAGCCCTCAGCTGGCCCCACCTGTCAGCACTTTTGTAGGCCTTTGAAGGACTTGGACTTGTTTTATGGTGGAGTGCTCTGCTCTATGTCCTTTGGTGTTTTTCCTATGTTTTTGTATAGCATATTATGTAGGTGGAGATTTAATACAGTGTACCTTAGTTTTATATAATATCTGTTCTAGATTGCTTTGTCCATTCGTATCCATTATTAAGTGGTGTTAATGAGTGGGTTAATATGGTCTAGGATCTGGGATTGCAGGTCAGTCCCAGATACGGTTTCCCTGGGATGATAATGTTTAATTTGCTATGCTCAGTAGTTTAACTCTTTTGGTCCTAATATATTTTTTCTTTTTTTTGTGCCATAGTCCCTGACTTCCAGAAGCATGTAATCAGCATATTTGTGATGCTAACAGTGATAATTACATGCTGTGTTTTCATCTATAAAATCTTCAAGGTTGACATAGTACTTTGGTTCAGGGATTCTTGCCATGATTTTATCCCAAGAAAAGGTACAATTTTGTGTCTTATGCAATATTTCTGGTTGCAGAGAGGGGACAGTTAAGAAATATAGTAGAAAATTGAGAGGGTTATTACTTAAATTTTAAAATGAAATGTGGCATATATATGGATAGTAGTTATTCTTATAAATAACCAGAGTTTCATAATATTGGAATAAACCAAATGGCATTGCCTCCCAAGTCACTGCATTAGTGTCCATAATGGTGGGATAAACATGCACTTAGAGCATCTGTTTATAAATCCAGTTATTCTGAAGCTGTTGATGAGGATCTGCTCCATGCTGGGTAGGATGCAGATCACCCCATGATCTGCCTTCAAATCAAAGAAATAACTCAATTTTTATACATCAGGGAAGTTCATTTCCTTTTGTTTCAACCTTGCAAAACACTACTACTACTACAATGTATAAAAGGCCAAGTGGATAGAATCCAGGGTTGAGACATCTGGGCAGGAAGATGAGAACAGGGAGATAAGGATAGTTCCCACACTGAGAGTCAAAGGATCCTGAATGTGAGGCTATCAATTAATATGAGAACAACTTCATAGTAAAACACTATAAATAGCAACTTGTAAGAGATAATCAATTACTTCACAAAGGTATTATGCTTTGGGTATTTCTGCTTCAATTTTACCATTGTACAAGATGAATTAGTAATTCATTCTGAAATGCATGTTTGTGATACTGACTTTACCAAATCTCTTATTTTTCCTTTTGTATCTAAATATATTATATTACATTTTCCCCTTTAGCTTCGGATGGAAAGACCTATGACGCATACATACTGTATCCAAAGACCCATGGGGAAGGAGCCACCTCTAATTCAGATATTTTTGTGTTTAAAGTCTTGCCTGAGGTCTTGGAAAAACAGTGTGGATATAAGCTGTTCATTTACGGGAGGGATGACTACGTTGGGGAAGGTATGCGTGTAATGGAAAAAAGTAAAAGTCCTGTTGTAAAATAAATGTAATCATTGAAGCTGGGTTTCATTTTTCTAAAAGGCTAGCATAGGTATACATATTTGACAATTTTAAGGATCTCTTCAATGGTGCACGATGATGATTTTCAAATTTACTCAGTGCATGTATTTACTTTTCTCATATTTTGTTGGAGCAACAATTAACCAAGTTTAATTTAGTTTTGGAAAGCTTAACAACTAGTTAGATCCAGTAGTTACTTTACAACTGATACAATAAAACAGGAGTGATAGAAAGCAAATGGTTTAACAAGGTTTTTAAGTTTTTACTGTAAGTATTCTGAGTCCCAAATGAAATACTCGACTTCCATGGGTCAGTTTTTGAGCTGGTCTATAAAATGGAAAACTCCTTTAATCTTAATATAAGAAAAAAATTGCATGAGGGATTAGGTGCTGAGAACCTTGTGGGCTTTGCTTCTGGAGAGGATGATTATAATGGAAATTTTCCTTACTATGCTGTGTTTTCATGTTTTTCAGACATTGTCGAGGTCACTAGTGAAAACGTAAAGAAAAGCAGAAGACTGATTATCATTTTGGTCCGAGAAACATCAGGATTCAGCTGGCTGGGGAGTTCATCCGAAGAGCAAATAGCAATGTACAATGCTCTCATTCAGGATGGAATTAAAATTGTCCTGCTTGAGTTAGAGAAAATCCAGGACTATGAGAAAATGCCAGAATCCATTAAATTCATTAAGCAGAAACATGGAGCCATACGCTGGTCAGGGGACTTTAGAGAGGGATCCCAGTCTGCAAAGACAAGGTTCTGGAAGAATGTCAGGTACCACATGCCGGTCCAGCAGCTACCTTCCCCTGGGCCCCAGTTACTGTGCCCCACCACAAGGCCAGACTCTAAGGAGAAAGTGCAAAGGGAAGTACACATGCCTCTCGGGTAGCAGGGAGAAAGAATTGTGGCCAAGAGTCCATGGTTGACTCCTGTCCAGTGGCTTCGTGGGCTGCGTCGTGCCTCCACTGACTTGTGCAGTCAAGATGCACCTGTATAGTCCCTTGTCCCCGAGGTCACCTGGAATCGGATTGTTAAGGGAGCAGGACATGGTGACAACAGCAGGCCAAGGCAATTCAGAGCAGAGGGCTTGGGAAGTCCTTTAAAAGATCACAGAAAGCCTATCTGAATGCTGGAACTGCTGAGAAGAGGCAGCAAATGGGAGGAGTGAACATGCAGGAAATGTTCGCCATCTGCAGATGGTTTTGTGAAGGTGTCCACAGTCCGAGGGGGTTGTGGCCTTGTCTGGGGACTGCAGGCTCGCTGGCACTTGAGCTGCTCTCTTCGGTAGCACTGCAGATGAAGTGAGACGCGCATTCTTGGAGAACTTCCCACCTGCCTTGTGTTTTCCATGTATGTCGACAGCCAGCAATTAGTTACCAAAGATTGAATTTTCATGTCATAGCCCTTTAAAACTGCATGTCAATGAAAGAAGGAATTCTTCAGCATGCCAGAGTTTTGAAATAGCCTTAGCTTTCCACGGGAGAGAGAGAGAATTCCCAAAGGAAGAGTAGTAGAGAACTGATCCATCTCCTCATTTGCCCCTTGGCACTGCCACTCTGTGATTCCTCTCTGCATTGCGCTTGGCTCATCACTTCTCTGGAAGGACTACTGCCCAGTCATTCCTCTTTTCTCTTGGTCCCCCACAGGGTGCACAGGTTAACTGCCCTTCATAAAACACTGCTCTCTGCTCTGGCTGCAGCACCTCCTCGGGCTCCTTCTGGTTTAGGAGCTGAAGCCCAAGCTCTCCCGCCAACCCGTACCACCACCACCCCCATCTGTCCACATGGCCATCCTCTCCCCATCCTGCTGTGTGATTTCTCCATTCTCCACCCCTGTATCTTCACACCTGTCGCATGATTCTCTATTTCTGCCTCTTCTTCCTGTCTCCTCTGACCAGAACGCTTTCTCCTTATTTTTACTGAAATTCACAATTTATTCCGACTACGTTTCTCCAAGGGATTTCTCTAAGCATCTGCCCTAGGACACCTGCCTCTGCCCTCTTGGTTGGGCAATGCTTCTTCTGTTGGGGATGGCTTTGCGAAGGCTGTCTTCTCTCCAGCTGGGAGTCCTGCTGTCTGAGGGAGAGACTGTGGGGTGTCTCACTTTGTCTGCGCTACCTGCTCAAGTAATTTTCACACAGGACATAGATTTGTGTAGGGCTTTATGTTTAAAAATGTCCAAAGATTATTTTATTTCATTTTTGCAATCATCTTAATTTTATAGGGAGAGTAAGAGACCTGTTTTAAAAAATTACACTTTAGTACTCTCGGACCTAAGGATAGGTCTGTTTCCTATTGCTGGCTTTTCCATTTCTGCCTTCTAGTGCAGTGTTCAAAATACTTGATTTCAGGTCAGTAAATATCACCCTCTTTTACTTAAGAAACCAAATTAAGAATTTTTGAGTGCTAGAATTTACAAAAATTATGTTTAGCTTTTATGAAAAACTCTTCTACTTTCATATATCTCATATACTTTTTCCAAAGGTAAATTTTTCAGTAAATTAAGAATGAAAGCAAATTGGGTTTTGGTTAGAGACACATGTTTGAAAACCTGATCGTAGTCCCTGGGATAATTAGAGAATCCCTGGAAAACATGCACTTTTTGAAGGACACGTGCATGGTTTTAAGTCATATGAATGTGGACGGGACTTCTGTTTCTTAAATTGTATTATTTAATATAGGTGGACACAACATTCATTTGTATACTTTTTTTCCCCCAAAAGTAGTCAGAGCAAGACAGAAACAGAGTTAATACTTTGACTGTTTTCTGTCCACCTGCTTTCTCTCGGATCTGATCTGACAACCTTGAATGATAGCACTGTCCTGAAGCTGCTATGTTAGTACCTTGTGTTCATTAAGCAGCGTGCACAGCCTGTAGCAAAGTCTGCAGGGTGGAGGTAGGTGGCTGTCCTGCCTCAAAAAGGCCTTTTGGATGCTTTAAACATAGAATGTTGCTGATCATTTTCAGTCTGTTATCAATAAAATACACTTGCCTGTGTAGTGCCAGAAAGCCAATTCTGAAATTTAGAATTAGCAACAAATTGACAAGAAAGTAAAGAAGTTGGGGAAAACAGCCAAGAATTACCAGTGGCACTGAACCTGGAATTCAGGGAGGGACAAGAACCAAGGGATATGCCTGGGTGGAAAAGGAGTCCTAACAGGAAAGTGCAATGTCCCATTGTCACTCCCATTCCCAAGGGACCCTTCTGGAGGAAGGAGCTGCACTCCTAGCTCCCTGGGAACTTCCTCTGTTTTATTGTTTTCTCCAAAACCTCTTTCAAGCTCTTCCTTTCAACTTTCCCCATTAATTAGATTTTACTGCATTATTTGATGGTAATTTTTTTGTCAGCTTCAGTGTTTAAGGCAAGTTTGCAAATGCCACAAAGTGTTTCATTTCCAGTTGTTAAAACTGGCTTAGCAGAATTTATATTTTCCTTTTCCTGTCTCTGTTTTATTTGTAGTAAAAGAAAAGGTATTGAGCCAATTTTTTCAATGACATTATTGATAAATTATATTTTTACTGGTTAATAATGAAGGTTTATTTTTTAACTTGTTTGTGTAATTCTGGAGCAGATACCAAATATTTTTATATAGTAAAACACCAGATTCATGTGTAGCATGTATCTTTGATCAATGGACTATATTTGTTTTCCAGTAAAATTGTCAAACCTGGTATTGAGTATTCTCATTAGAATCTGTTTCTTCACCAGCTGTCTCTGGTCTTACCTGTATACTCCAGGTCTGATGTAGGGTGCAGGCACCCTCTGCCTGGGAATTTGGAGGCCATTAGGTGACCAATGAGCCCAGACCCCCATTTGTAGCCTTGACTGTACTCCATATGTTTGCTTGCTTCTAAAATGGGTTAAAATGCCTTATTATTATTAACCCTTTATTGGTCCAAAAAATGATAACATTTGTATAGACTTCTGCATTTTACAAAAAGTTTCCATTTATTTTCTCCTTTGACCCAAGAAATGAACAAAATTGGCAAACTTTGTGTCCCACATGCAAACCCTTCTGCTCACAAATGCTGAAGATCAAAGGCTCCTTCTTGCCCAGCTGGGGCTGCTGTAGGCTCCGCTGTTCCCCAGGGAGAAGGGCAGAAGTGGCCACTGGCTTAGCATCCATGATAAATCTGCCTTCGCCATATACATACACCAGGGGTGAAAACTAGGCCAACCGATTTGAGCTGCAGTTTCCTCATGTTTAAAATGGGTATAATACCTAGTTCATGGTGTTGTAAAAGGATTAAAAAGATGAAATGTATTATAACAACTACAGCACATAGCACATAACAAGCATATGGCAGGTCCTCAGGAAAAGACAGCTTGGTTAGTAGCAATTCGATAGATAAACTTGGTGATTTCAAGTCTTACTAGGATCTGCAAATAGAATGGATAGAGAGGATTATAAACTGCAAGTAGCACCTAAAAGAGGAAGCCAAGAAATAAAAAAAAAAAATAGCCAGTCTAAAACAACCAGCTGAAGCAGTGCCATAGGGAGGCCTGGGGCCCTGCCCTGCCCTTGGCCCCGGGGGTTTCTGTCCCTGAGGACCAACGACTGATGTTCACATTGACTTGCTGCCAGCCTCAAACTTTAAAGGATGTTTAGTGGTCTAAATAAAAACATGGATTTCTGGATAAAAATTAAAAATGAAAGAACTTAAAAACATTTAGGGATCAGCTATCCAAAATACTTGCCTCAGCAGAATTTTTTGCTGGTAGAATTCAGAGTGTTTCACTGTATTTTGATTATTTTACCAACTAATGTATTATTTAGCAAAAAAAAAAAAATGCTAGTAGCTATCCACTTAAAAATCTTTTAAAAAAAATTCCTTTCTTTACCAGATATAGCTCCCCCGCTCGCCTTTTTTTTTGTTTTTGTCCCTGGAATGATTTCTCAATAGGGGTGCCATCTGGTGGAGAGAGACCTGAGTTTTAAGTTCCTGAGTCACAGGTTTTAAAGTAGAGCAAAGCAGTTGGTTGTTTTCAATTTCTTTTTCACTCCTCTATACAATAGGATTTCTTATGTTCCAAGGTTTTTATATGTGGAAAGCCTCTGTCCGTATTTGAGAATCTCAAAATATATTTTCTTTACCTCTTGATTAGTACAGATAAAACAAAAAATTCATTTATCCAAAATACATCTTTTTCAAATTCTGGGGTTTTGGGGTCTGGGGTGTGGAAGGAGAAGAGGACATGCAAACTTGGTGTTAATTTCTGAGAATGATAATAATTTTTACTGAATCCAGTTTAAGCAAGTCAGGATCTGGCTTGATATTTTTGATGTAGTTTTTACAAATATTGACTGAAGGACTTTTCAGTATAAGAATCATACAGTTATAAAATCAGAGATTTCCTCAATTTATCAGAAGAAAATCTTTTCCCTCTTGAGGCAAGAATCTGTGAGTGGTGAGTTTGGCTTAATATGGAGGCCAGAGCTTGGGTAGTAGCAGGGGAAAGAATGATATGGGGTTGGGAGAGGGAAGGTTCCTTTTTTACTAAAATGCGCAGTAGCAGGAATTCAAAACAATAAGAAAAATAGATTACACATGAAAAAATATATTTGGGGAGACAGGTAGGAGGGACATTGTATACTAACATTTATTTTACAACCAAAATATGAAGGGGTGTGTGTGTGTGTGTGTGTGTGTGTGTGTGTGTGTGTGTGTGTGTATTTTAGGGTTTTCAGGAGAGGAAGAGTTACAGGAAACTGGTGACACTATTTAAACTGGTTATTAACCTTTCAAAACAAAAACTGGCTCATTTTACCATGTTGCTCAGGTGTTTTCTACGTGAGGCTTGGTTGACTAAAGTACATACATCCTGTATGTTCACCTTTGGTCTGACGCCCACATCTGAGGTTGTCACTAAGACCTGCCCCTGTTAGACCAGTTGAGCCTGTACCACTCACAGGATCCTGCTGATTTCTGTAGCACTGGGCTCAACCAGTTGAGGATGAATTCACTCACAGTGAAAGTCAATGAAGCTTGTTTTTTGCAGGACCTTTGACCTGGAAATGGTCCCAAGTGTCACTTAGTTCATACTTCTGGGTTTGGGACAAGCTGCACCGATACCATTCACAGTGATCAGTGACTACAGTGTTCATTACTTCCTTTCATTAAACACGTCCTGAGA